GGGGGGGGGGGGCGGGCAGGGCAGCCTTACACATGGGAATCGACTTGATGTGCATCTTCCGTTGTAGTGAGAACTGCGGACGTGTCAGTTCACTCGCCCCTGGCTGCTGCTATGCTGGCTGCCAGCCTCAACTCACTGCTGGCGCGAGCGCACGGGTTGGTTTGCCTCGCAGAAGCGTTGAGCCCAGGCGGAAACAGTTCATAGATGTCGGTATGGGGGCTCGGGCGTGTTTATGGAGCGCAAGCGGCGGAGAGCAAGGGGGTTCGTTCGATGATGCCACGGGGATAATAAAGGGTTGTCACGGTAAGCTTGGTCTTAAGGTGGGTGTTGCAGTGAGAGGGGAACCGAGTTTTGGGACAAGTGACGCGACGTTATCATTGCCCCGAGAATCCCGAACGTGGGTGGGGCCCGCGATGCGATCAATACAGTACAGTACAGGATTTGTAATGCGTGCACGGTAGGTATCAGAGAAGGACCTGTCTACGTGCATATATCCTCCTCACAGGATCGACAGCACGCTTCACCAGAGAGTACCAGGGAGATACCGAATTTCCAGTTGTGCGTAAAGGGAGCAAATATAGCCCCAGCCTTCACACAACCCCGATGGGTTTTGCCCGCCACGGCAGCTCAGGCCGTGTCCAACCACCACCTGCGCCTGCCTCGGCATCGCCCGCCCCCTCGGCCGCGTCGTTCCGCTCCCCTTCCTCCTGTTGCGCCCCGGCCAGCGCCTCCATCTCGGCCAGCTCCCGCCTGGACCGCTCCAGATCCGCCCTGAGCGCCCCCGCGTCCTGGACGAAGTCGGCGGGCTGCTGCTGCTGCTGCTGCTGCGGCAGGTCCAGGCCGGCCACGCGCCTCGAGAGCCGCAGCGTGCCGAGCACCAGCCCGCCGTCCATGGGGATCGACGACGCGGCCTCGTCGCCCACGGCGTCCAGCACGCGGAGGACCCTGGCGCGGCCCCAGCGGTCGGCGAGCGCGCACAGCTCCGCCGAGCCACAGTCTTCGTCGCCGTCGCCTGCGGCAGCGGCAGCGGCCTCTGCGCCGTCCCGGAGGTGGCGCAGGAGCGCGGCCCTGCAGGTGCCGTCTTCTTCTTGCCCGCCTCGGGATTCCGAGCTCCCCTCTCCTGTTGCTGCTGCTGCTGCTGCTGCTGCTGCTGCTGCTGCTGCTGCTGCTGCTGCTGCTGCTGCTGCTGCTGCTGCTGCTACCACCGCCGCCGCCGCCGCCGCGTCGCCGTCGTCGTGCAGGGCGAGCTGCTTCCAGTAGTACTCCCAGATCCAGTCCAGGCCCGCGGCGGCGCCGGCGCGCAGCCGCGTCAGCGACGGCAGCTGCTCGTGGGCGGCCTGGTGCCGCAGCTCGACGAAGGTGGCCGGCAGCCCGATGGTCTTGGCGACCGAGTACATGCTCATCTTGTGGGACTTGTCCTGGTGGCTGTCGAGGAGGCCAGTCACGAATCTTTTTTTTTGAAATTTGTTCACGCGACCCATACGAAATAGGTGATTCGGTGATAGAGATTAGTTTCTAGTGGTTTTTTTTTCTCTTTCTTTTGGGTACCCTGGGGACTGGGTAGGCTAGGGGGTTGCGAGCTTGGTTCCTGGACTTGTTGGCTGTTCAGGTTGCCACTGGCTCCAACACATCAAGTCGACGGCGGCCAGCCCACTTGAGTCTGGCCCTAGACTTGAGATGTGGCCCGGGGGAGAAAGAGAGACGCGGTCCCCTAGAGCCGGCTAGCGATGATGGAACAGAGCATATGGCCACAAAGTCGGTCGACGCGATGGCGTTGGGGACCAGCCGATGGGTCGCGGGAAACGAGCAAAGGGGCACCACAAATCCCAGCTTACCGGCCAAAAGCAGTAGAGTAGGCGCCGCGCACGGCGTAGGAGCCGCCCGAGGCCTCGTCGGCCAGCATGGCGTCGACCAGCATGGCGGTGGACTCGACCAGGTGAGGGCAGCCGCCGCGCTGCATCCACACGGACACGCGCGAGACGGCGCGGCGCTGGCCCTCGGCCCTCGCCGCGCAGGCGTGGCTGGAGTCCCTGGCCGGATGGGAGCGCTGGCGCTGGCGCTGGCGGCCAGGGTGGGACGAGGCGGCGGCGGCGGCGGCGGCGGCGGCCGAGGCCAGCTCTGGGTAGAACTGCCCCCGGACCTCGAGCAGCTCGCGCCGGTGCTTCCAGGGCGTAAAGACGTACTGGACCATTACTAGTAGGCGGGGCAGGACGTCTGGGGTATCTCCTCGGAGGTTATAGCAGAGGTTTCCCGGAAAAGTGGTTGGCTTGTTTGTTTGTTTGTTTGGTGTGGCAATGAGAAAATTTCCACCCTTCAGGCAATCGCCCCAGTTCTGAATAAACTCATTTTCGTCAAGCTCTCAGCAAACAAACACATGACCTAATTTGCGCCCTCGTAATGTCTCTGTATTTTTATATATCACTAATTAAGGGCCTGTCTTGAGTCCATAAACCCGTCAATATTTTCTTCTTCTTTTCTTCTTCTTGCCCATGTCGGTCACTAGTGAAAGCTGCCACGCCAGACATTGCTTTTTCTTTTCCCCCATGCGCGTCCGCCCAACGTGCCGCCATTTCATGTACCGGAACTTTGCCGCGAGAAGCATGCGCCAGCGCCCAACAAAACTGTCGGCGCCCTTTCTAGGATGCACGCGCATAGTGGACACATGCCAAGTTTTCATGTCTGCATTTTCGTGTCTGCATCTTCTCACCCCACAGAGCCGGACAGGCTGCCTGGCCCGGCGGCCAGGCGGTAAAGGGCGGCCGGGATTTGAAGGCGTCCGGGTTACCCGTTTCACCCTCCTCCCTGCCGACCATTTTGCAGAGATTACGTGGTGTCGCAGACGGGCCGGACGGGGGATATTGAGGGATGGTGCAAGAGACCGGCATCCAGCCACTCAGTTTCCTAGAGCACATTGTGAGGAGGTGGGCAGGCAGCCTTTGACGCAGGAGTCCGCGTTGCTTCTTTTCCGTCGGCCGTGTGGTGTGGCATGTGAGAAGGGGAGGGGAGAAGCCGACGCGTACCCTTGGCCGTCTTGACTTCACTCCCTCTCTCTCTCTC